TGTTTGTGAAAATGTATACATTCATGTAATGGATTAGAGTATTCTTGTTTTGTTTTATTTGATTAGAGTATTTCTGCTGTTCCTGTAATTGGCAGTTCTTCCCCTGCCTGTTTGTATCCCATATGATTAGATTTTGTGCTGTAAAAAATCTGTTGTGCATTGTAAATTAACCCCACTGAGAAAATGTTGGAATCAAGACAACGAGGTGACTCAGCTACCCCCCGGTAGCTGTTCAGACTGAGACTGCATTCAAACTTAGAGAGCAAAGTGCAAACACAAGTTGTAATTGAGCTCGAGGCCATATTAACCCTAACAGTCCCAAATCCTCCCATTTCAATACGATTTTACACACACCCTAGGGGGTTAGGATTAATGCGGCAAGGGCACTGTGCGAAGTGAAATGATACATCATTATGTTGTACATATGTGGATTTGGTACCTGTAGCCATCAAGTAATCATGCGCATGCTTTGTTTTCAAGATTGCTACTTTTTCGATTTGGAATATTTTTAACAGGGCAAGTGCAAGCTATATATAAACATTGTTGTCACAGACTCAGAGAGCTGTGTTTTGTAGGACTTGAACGTACATGTATGTGGAAGGGGTTGGGGCTCCAGGGGATTTCAGAACAACCCTGTACATATACAGTACGGTACATACATGTACATGTACGTGTATATGTATGTATGTGTGTGTGTAAACCGTGTTAGTGAAATTGTTAGAGTCAATTATACTGTATTTTGTGGCATCTTTAATTTACCAATGTAATGGCGCTGGTATCTTAAACATGTGTTTAAGGCCGCTGCAAGAGAATGGACGCGACTAATGCCCAAGCCGGCCATACATGTCACTAATGCCCGAGAGCCGCAGGCAAGGGCTTTACCAGCATTCATTCTCCTGAGCAAGGTTTTAAATGTTAGTTTAAGACTGGCCAAGCACCTTTACTCCCATTGATAAATACCTTTTTCAAAAGAAGTCAACATGATGGATTTCCAGTGATTTTATTCGGAAACTTTACTCTCATTTTCATGCACACCCCCATCCATTTTATGGTATATTCCTTTTCAAAGTTGCTCAATAGAATCCCCTTTAATGAACTTGGTGCACACATGGCACGTCTTGAGCACGTAGCCTCCTGACCAATCAGACCCAATTAAACAATCATGTATCCATTTGCCAGCATGTGATTTTACGCAGCGGGCATTATCACTTTTAAGCGGGCATTATCAAATGTTAATACATGGTCATGCGATGTGTTTGACCAATAGATGCCATTGAGGTGGAATGCGATACCTTGTGGGATTGTGTGGTTCCTTAAGATTTCAGTTTCCTCAAGATTTCAGTTTCCTCTTGGACTTCGCAAGGAAGCTAGTTCCCGACGGGCAAAGATTACTGCTGCATCCCAACTGACTTTCAGAACTGTACACCTTCTCCCCCAAAAGAAAGAATCACACAAGTGTTACCACAAACCTTCACCACATAATACCACCACCATGCAAAGTTTTAACCCTAACACTCCTCAGTCCTCCAACAGGTGAAGGACTGAGGAGTGTTAGGGTTAACCACTACCAGCCGGGGACTCCGAAATCGG